TAGGACAGTTGAGATACAGCTGTAGGCCTCGGGCGGACAGAGCACATAGCTGCAGCTGACCAGCACGGGTGAGGAACTGCCTTCTCTGCCTGATCCAAGAGTATGCAGAGCAGAGAAGAGACAGGAACAAAGGCTCTCATCTTGGCTACTCACAAGGCGGCAGCCTCACCCCTCTTGATGGGCTGCACCGGACAATAGTTATTTAGCGCAGCAAGAGGAGGGAAACTATGCTGGGAACAATGTGTCCATTTTGGGTGCCTACCATTTGCCAGTTTTTTCGTTGATTTTCCTGATCCAGACTGTGGACTTAGACCCTAGATTCGTACCATGACTCTTAGACCTACTTTCAGATTTGCCTTGCCTTGGAACTTGACAGTGGACTTGGGAAGGTTGCTTAACTCTACTTTTTCCTTGTCATGTGGACTGCTCCAGCTTTGTGAATTCATGAGGGAATCATTTCAGAACTAACTTGGGACTCTTGTCATTGGACTGGGATTCTGGACCAGGATTCCCTGGGGAAGACTTTTGGGGGGCTTGAAAGCCTCAATAAACCCCTCCGTGGTATGTGTGCTTGGGAGTGGGAGCAGGACAACACTGAAGAATTCTATGACAAATTACAAACGGTGTAAAATGCACTTTCTGAAACTTACATGGTACTATTAATGAAAGACTGAAATGCAAAAGTTGGGGAAATGGAGAAAATTGGAATTACAGGATTTTTAATTATCTGAACTTATAATGCAGAATTTAATAGTTTTGCAAGAATTCAATGAGCCCTGATAGTGCAGTGGTTAGAATGCAGTACTGCAGGCTAACTGTGCCCACAGCCTCGAGTTTGATCCTGACAGGGCTTGAGCTTGACTCAGCCTTCCATCCTGCTGAGGTCAGTAAAATGAGGACCTAGGTTCTTGGGGGCAAATGCTGACATTGTAAACCACTCAGGGAGCACTGTAAAGCACTAAGGAATAGTATATAATTTTAAATGCTTATTGCTATTGCTATCCTTTGCTTTGTCAGCATCTGCTTCAAGCAACATAAACCCAATTAATCCAGAGCAGAATAGACACACAATATGAACACTAGGATACTTCCAGGTAGTTTGTAAAAAGAGCCCATAAATTGATTTCAAATAATCAGTTAAACATAGCAAAATTAAAAAAATTAGTGTGCCAGCAAGATTTAACCTTATTCTCAAAATATAATATTTTAATAAATCAATTATTTTTAAAATTAATAAAAATTAATACTAATGTAATATTCTGATAATAAAAAGTAAGTAATGCCATCCCACCTGGTCAGTTAGAAAGGGCATTTTACAGACCGTCAGCAAAAGAATTTTGACTTAGGAGGTCCAGAAAGACATTTTTCTGCTGTTGCCCCCATCCTACGGAACATCCAGCCCCCATCCTTCTGGCCTTCTGTCAACTGGCATAGGGATCCAAGAGTGATATGCAATCCTGGGGATGGATGGCAGCTTGAGGGTGTTTGTCCATTCTTTTAATTTTGTCTTTTTAACATTGTGTTTTAATCTGGACTTTTGTATGTATTTTATAGAATATAAAATCTATAGATTTTATCAAAGAGATGGGCAATATATAAATTTGTTTAATAATGAATACACATGCTTAACCAATATGAAAGAGAACCTGAGTTGTTATGACAATAAGAGAGATCTAGAAATCTGAAGTGGAAAAAAATATTTCCCAAGTATTAAAGAGTAAAAGATCCAAGTGTTTTTCAAAACAAAATAAGGGCGAAAGAAAGTTTCATTTTCATTGAGTAGAAACAAAGGACCAACTTTTCTGCCCTCACTGTACTGGCAGGACTGTGTCCTAGCATTTTGGTTAGAGTGACCTGTTCCTTTGAGAGGTAGCAAGGATCAGAAAGATCGACCCACAATCTGCTGTAAGGCTTTTGGATGTTTTGCCAACAAAACTGCTCAAATATGCTCAGGACTGAGTGGGCAGCATTTATATTGAGGTACAAAATTCTGCTATTTGGGATTTATTTCATCCTGGGATGTCTCAGGAAATGTGTAAAATATGGGGAGAAATGAGCACATCCTCTTCATAAATAAAATCCATGCCTTACCTTCAGGTGGATGGATGTGATCAGTTGGATCAAGGACACATGCAAAGTTTGGAGAGGGAATGATACCACCTGGCCTGAAAGAAACTTTGCCTAGATCTGGCCACGTTCATCAAGTACAATTCCCTTTTAGAGATAGTTGTAAAGGCTGTGGTCTGGCATCAACTGCAAAACATCCCAGGAGGCAGATTTTGGATCTTTTATTCAGATTCAGATCTAGTCATGGAATAGAAACTATTCATAAATAAGACTTTTTAGATCTAATCCTTCCTAAATGGATGGTTGGGAAAGGAAGGGTACACTGAGAGCATACGCACGAAAGACAAATTCTTTGTGTGTCCAATCACACAAGGAATTCTATAGAATTCTATTTTATTCTATTCTATCATTTACAGACCTGTAGTATAAGCAAATGAGACTAAAGGAAGAGGGAATTATTAGAGTAAAATCCTTCATAAACAAAATTAGAGAGAAAAAATATTCGTACAAAAAGAATATATTCAGGAACTACTTCCCTAGAAAGAGTGGTGTTCTAGCTGTCTTATAGAAAAGAACTAAGTACAGATAAAATAAGCACTGAACAGTTTAAAGCAATAACATGAAGGATGTGGCCAGACACTGGTGGAAACAACCTCTAGGACTGACAGGGAACAACTTTGGCAATGGGGGGGGGGGGGAGCGCACACAGGAGTTCAAGGATCCCAAGGTGACATTGGATTGACCCCTAAGGTGAGAACATGGTTGGCTGTTTTATGTATGTTACCCTCTTGCCCGGATGCAATGGACAGGGTGTGTGTGTGAATGTGGTCCCCTTCCCAGATGAGCAGTTGGAAAGACCAGCATGTCGAGGGGGGACACTTTTGAGTGTGGGAAGGGTTGCAGAGAGTGAGGACTCCCAACGGCACAGAGAGCTACAGCTAAAGTGCCACAGGAGTATTCATCCTCCCACCTATCCATTGAATGTTTGAAGTGAGTCGGTATGACTGACAGAATGACAGGGTTGACAGTGCAGGAAGAAGGGAGGTCAGGGTTGGGAATAGAGGACCACCTCATAGTTTGGAGTAGGGGTGTCAAACTCACATCGTCACGGCAGTGTCACATGACTTTTTCCCCCTTTGCTAAACAGGCATGGACATAGCCAGAACGTGACGCATCTAGCTGGGAGTTTAACAGCCCTGGTTTAGAGTGAGAGAATCAAACCAGGTAGCGATGGGTAGGGGAAGGAACAGGATCCATAGGGCAGGCCTTTATAGGTGAAGATGCTCCTGATACTTAATAACAGTGGTATGTTCTGGGGTTCTAAGTTCACACCAGATGCTGAATAGCAGACCTTTGGAGGCACAGGCCTTTGGCTGCTCTTGATGAATACGAGGTTTATTAAAAAGGGTCCCCTCATTTGTAATGGAGGAATAAGATGATCTGGTGTGCATCACTAAGACTGGATGACACTAGATGGGAGTATTTCCCTCTTGGAGATATGCCCAGCTAGGTTTAGGGTTTGGTACTAGCCATGGGGTCTAGGACAACTCGCCATAACCAATTCGCTGCAGCCATCTTGCCATAGCCATCTTGCCACGGAACAATCCATGTGGGATAATTCAATTCAGTAAATGTTATCCACCACTATTTTATTTCCATTTTTGTCAATGGAAATAATGTTGAAGAAACAGTGGCGGATAATATTTATTGCATTGAGTTATCCCATGTGGATTGACCACGGCAAGTTGGCCACAGCAAGATGGCCATGGTGAGTTGTCCCATTCCGTAGTCATTTATTTGTGTATATTCCATATTGATATACAAAGACTTTTATTATTGAAATTATGAAAACTGTTGAAATGGTTGTGATAAAGAATTCAAATATGCTATACCATGCTTTATTGATGGTGCTTTTATATTGCCTAATAACAAGGGTTCTCTGTTATGGTGATAGAAAAGCCAAATTGGAATGTTGGTCAAAACGGACTTATCTCACAACCAATCAGCGGTGAAATGCACTTACCTTCACTACTGGTTCGGGAATGTTAGCATGTGCACCTCTTTTACGCATGCGCAGTATCTTCTGCGCATGCGCAGCAGGTCAAAAGTGAGACGTAATGATGACCCAGCAGGTGGATGGAGCCTCCCACTGCCGGTGTTACCGGTTCGTGCGAGCCGGATAGATCTGGCCGGACTTCACAGCTGTATGTGCCCACTAAGGTCAGGCTCCTTCATTGGTGACTATGGCAATAGACCTCTACTATTCTACCTCAAAGCACCTTCTGTGGCCAGACAAAACAACCCTTACAACAATTGGCACACTTATAAATCAGGGAAATCCTATTAAGCAGATACTTGAAGCAGTGTCAGGAAAATAAAGCCAACAATGCTGTATTGTTGTTATGTCGACGTTTTATTCATTTCAAGGAATAACTTGCAACATCTCTCTATTCACAGATTTCTAATCCAGAATAATAACGTTAATTCAAGGCACTGAAAAAGCTATTTTATTGCAAAATAAATTAGAACAGCATTTACATCACAGGTTTAGCTCTCATTGAGCATATATGTTGGAATTACATTACACCATTTAAGAAGGAAACGGTTCCCTAATTTCATTAGGAGAGGGGGAACACTTGATCATGAACATCCTTTCCAAACAGATTAATTTAATCGTCCCTCCAAAATGTTTATGAGATTAGCCTTTTCCCTTTCCTCCCAGACTAATTCCTGCGCCACAATACAATCGCCCCCCCCCAGAAGGTGGGGGTCCCCTATGCAATCAACGCGGGGCCTCCGAGCAGTCCCGGGGGGGAAGAATCCTGGGAGAGTCCGCCCCCGACTCGCAAAACCACCCCGGGCGCTGAGGCCTTGTTTGGGAAGTCTTCGATACGCCCCCGGGGGCCCGCAGCCTCCTCGCTCTCTGGACTAACCTTGCCGGAGGCGCCATCGCCCAACAGCACGAACTTGAGCTGCCTGTTGGCGCCTTCTTCCTCCGACTCCGAGTCCGACATCGCCCGCAGTCCAGTGCGGGAAGTCGCCTTCAGAAGGGCCCTAAAGACCGCGCGCCGCCGCCATCTTGTCCATTCTGTTGCCCAGGAGCCGTTGGACTGGACCAACGCTCCAGCAAGCCGATGGGGCGGGAAGCTGCGCCGCTGCGGAAGAGGAACGGCCACGGAACGTGGAGTGCGGAGGAAGCAGGCTCGGCAGCTAGAAGAAAAATGAACGGCGGCTGCCCGTGATCCGTGCATTGACGCAGTCCACCCTCTCTATATCGTTGGTTTCTTCCAAAAACAGAACTGAATCCCATACACTGCCTATGGTCACCAGGGTCAGGGAAACGGGTGGTAAAGACACGCTCCTTCACCTGCGCAATGTGCGCGGCGCCTCCGATGCGCCTCCGCCCGCAAACCTTTAGCCGGCCCGGGAGAATCCAATATCTTGAATGCATGTGGAAGAAACCGGCAGCCATAGACGTGAATTACTGTATTTCTGTAAAAAAATGATATAGCCGCACATCTCATGCATCTTAACGTTGGGACGCTTTAAACAATTCAGAACCATTTGTATTGTGTTATTACTATTAGTGTTTGATCAGATTGTGAGATTTAAAATTCCCAAAATTTTATACTCACAAATCCAAGACAAGTCTGGTTAACAAAATCAAAGATTTATTGGAGAAAAACATGAGAATAAAAAAAAGAAAAGCGGTTGCAAGCATGGCCTCTTAGACCCTTCCTAAATGGATTGAGTTCAAAGAGCGCAAAAAGCAGTGTTCAAGCTATACATTTTATACACCTTCACAATGCACGCTACACCCAACTCCCCCTTATTCTCTTAAATCATCCTTTAACTTGTTTTACACTTTAAAGCAATGGTTCTCAACCTTCCTAATGCCACGACCCTTTAATACAGTCCCTCATGTTGTGGTGACCCCCAACCAGGGGTGGGTTTTAAATTTTTTTACTACCGGTTCTGTGGGCGTGGCTTGGATGTCATGTGACTGGGTGGCCATGATTATGTGTATAGGGACTATCCAGAGGGCTGAAAAAAGTCATTTCTGACAGGTCCTCGCACTTTTGACTGGTCTTCACACTTATGACCATCCTCACATTTATGCCCGTGCAGCATTCTTAACAACCATGTCACTCATTTCACAATTGCTTCTCGTCACCATGGTAACAAGATAGGGAAAAAAATGTAAAATGTGAAGACAGTCGTAAGTTCGAGGACTGGTCAAAAGTGCAAGGACCAGTCAAAAATAACTTTTTCAGCCCTCTGAGTAGTCCATATGCACAAAAGGACTACCCAGAGGGCTGAAAAAAGTGATTTCTGACAGGTCCTCGCAAATCAAAGATTTCTGAGACCAATGGTGAATACTTAAATTTCAGTAGTCACCAATCCCAGTCTTAAAATGAGTTTAGAATCAGTGGGAGTCACTGATAACAATGAATTAACTAGCTGCTGATAATGAGTCCAGTCCTGCCTTTCTTTTCGTTCTGTCCAAGTTTTGCAAGTATTTTTTCCAGGTATATGTTTTATTCCAAAGTATACAAACCATTATTGTTAGGGAAAAAATGGGTCTTCCAAGCAATTTTAAAAGACACTATCAGAATGACTCTGCTCTCAGCCCCCCTTTTGGCTCCTTGAAAAGCATCCCCCCCCACATATGTAAATGAAAAGAATAAGCTTAAAAATCCTAGCCTTTTAAAATTGAAAATATGGAGAATTGAGAGGATGAATTTGAGACACTAAGGGAGATGTTTCAAAAAGTAAGGGCGGCATTTAAGGAGAGATGGAAGAGGGAAGGAAGAGAAGAGAGGAAGGAAGGGAAATTAGAGTAAGAGGGAGGGTAAGAGAGGGAGGAAGAGAGGAGGAGAAGGAGAAAGGAAGAGGAAGTAGGGAGGAGAAGAAGAGGGGGGAAGAGAAAGTAAGAAGGAAAGAAAAGAGAGAGGTGGTAGGTTTGAAGAGAAAGATTGCTGTACAATAAAAAAGATGAAAGGGAAGAAAGGCAACCCCAAACAAATATGAAGATATTAAGATAAAGAATGAATTGTTAAACTTTAAAGAATAAAAGAGAACAAATATGAATAAATAGCAATAATTAGAAACACACGTACAAACATACAATGTATTTTCTTTGAACAGAGTATTTGGCTGGTTCACAAATTTAAACAGTATTTAGTCATTTCAATTAAATTTACAATTTCTATATTTCCTTTTTGCCATATTTATTCCTCATCTATTTTTTTAAAAAACCAATATTACCCTTCATCCTCATCTCTAATCTTAATCAAATTCAATTTTTCCCTTCTATTCTATATTATGGCAGCTTTGCCTGCTTCAGCTGCCATAAGAAACGGGGGGGAGGGACCAGTTAAGGGGGCGAAGGGGGGGAAGATTGCAGGAAGTGTCTTTCCAATGGAGGAGGTGTCTTTCCAAGAAACGAAACTGAATCTCCAAAGGGGCCGGCTGACCAACTGCCCTACATTCCTGATGGATGACGTTGCCAGGCGTGATGCCACCTGACCTTTGGGAGACCTTTGGATTGGATGATGGTCAATGGACACGGGGGGGGGAGAAGCTTACTAGATGCTATTTCGCGCGTTTTGCTCACTTCCAGCTTTACCTGGGTTGCGATCATTTCATATTCAGTAAAAGTACTAATCTCTTTTAAAATATTGAGTTTGGGTTTTCTTTCCTGGATATTGAAGGAAGCATACCTGACATTAAGCTGGAAGTCACATCCAGTCATCCAGGACAAAAACCGCGGGGACTGTAAATCCAAATTATGTCAGATCGAGAGAGTGACGGAGAACAAATGGGGGCAGCGAGTTCAACTGCAGCCGCCCTCCAAGCGGAGAAAGAGAATGCGGAATGGTTGGAAAAACTCCGATTAGAGCCGGAGGAAGCCAGATGGTCAAAAGGAGTGGGGAGGCTACCGGACTGGGGGGAGAACCTCCGGGGAGTGACGACTTCCAGACCCCGTAAAAAAGAGGCAGTGTGGATGCAGGAGCAAAAGGAACGTCTCATGATGGAACAAGCCTTGCAGCTTATCCGTGATGTGGAAGAAAGCAGAAAAAAATGTGAGTCTTTTGGAATTCCTGTGGAGAAGGGGGGAGAAGGCCCCAGGGGGGAGCCAGAAGAGACAGCCTGTGGGGGAGAGGAAGATTTTGAGGAAGAAACATCCCAGGCTTCGGCAGCTCAAGGGAGAGATGCAGCTGGCCAGAGAACCCCAGCCTTGCAGGCCCCCCCTCGCAGACGTAAAAAGCCAAAAATCCCCCCCTTCCTGGGAAGTATGATGGAAATCCGAAAACCTTGGGATTTTTCCTGACCCAAGTGTGGAACCACATGCAGGATTGGGGGGAGGACTACGTATCAGATGCTGCCAGAGTGAGAAGTGTCACGAATGCCTTAGAGGGAGTAGCCGCTGAGTGGATGGTGGTTCTCCACAATAACAACTCCCTCTTGCTGAGACATTACAACCAGTTCATGCCCTTAGGAGGCATTTTGAAGACCATTTAGCTGAACGAAAGGCGAGACTCAGGATGAAGAGCATCCAGCAGGGCCGGAGACCGGTGGCAGAGTATATCCAAGAGTTTCGTGAACTGGCACCCTATATGACAGGCTGGTCAGAAATGGCTCTTTTGGAGAGTTTCAAAGATGGGTTGAATGAAGAGATATATTGAGACTGTAGAAGCATGGGGGTCCCCGAAGATTTGCAGAGATGGTACATAGTAGCTGAGGATGTGGAGATCGAACTGAGATGGAGCAAACTCTGAGGAGGGCGTATGGGGGACCAGTCATCTTCTTTCCACCGTAAGGGGGCCCCAAAGATGGCTGGGGGGAAGGCTGAATTCAAACCCAAGTCAAAGCCCTTCACCTGTTTCAAATGTGGGAAAGAAGGACACCAGGCTGCCGAATGCTTCTCCAAGCCACTGCCAAAAGCTGCCGGGGCCGGGCCGAAGAAAGGCGACAAAATACCCGCCAAAACCCGTGGCACCGCCCTGAAAGGAGAAGTCGTTGAGTTCGCTCCCCGACATCCGGGTGAGTTGGGAACTCCGACCCACGATGAAGACAGCGAGACGGACTCCGACTCCGACACCAACGATCGGGTGAGTCACACGGAAGAACCCTTGCTCATCCCCGTAGAAGTAAGGGTGCCATCCACAGGGGCCCATGCGCAAATGTTAGCCCTATTGGACTCGGGGTGCACTAGATGCATAATTAGCCCCAAGGTGGTGGAGGAAATGGGACTGAGACTAAAAACTTTAAAAAGACCCATTGCATTCTGTCAATTAGACGGGTCGATTGCAGGAGGGGGCCCAGCTAGTTTTATGACCGAACCCCTTGAATTGCAGTTGGGGAATCATGTAGAGAATCTCAGATTTATTGTGGTCCCTGGTATGGAGAGACCCCTCATTCTAGGACTGCCCTGGCTTCGAAAATGGAACCCACGGGTGAATTGGAAGACGGGGGTCCTGCGCATCCGCACGGCAGAACCGACTCCGGGGAAGGAAGCCCCCCCCCCGAGGGACGACATAAAACCAGAAAGGGCGGCAGTAGCCATTGACTATATTGAGGGAGAAGAGAAGATTCCAAAGGAATATTGGGATCTCAAGGAAGTCTTTAGCGAAAAGGCATCGGATGCTCTGCCTCCCCACAGGGCTACCGACTGCACCATTGAAATACTCCCTGGGGTGAAGCTTCCCAAACCAAAAATTTACCCCATGACACCTCGAGAATTGGGGGAATTGCGAAATTTTATTGACAAGAACCTAGAATGGGGATTCATCAAACGAGCCAAACCCAAGGTGGCAGCGCCAGTAATGTTCCGCGAAAAGAAAGATGGATCCTTTCATTTGGTGGTCGATTATAGAAATATCAACGCGATTTGCGTAGAAAATGTCTACCCCCTCCCATTCATGAAGGACATGTTAGCCCATTTAGGGAAGGGGAAAATTTTCACCAAACTTGATTTAAGACAGGCATACTACCGAGTGAGAATAACAGAGGGAGATTAATGGAAAACAGCATTTAATTGCCCACTGGGATGCTTCCAGTTCAGAGTACTCCCTTTTGGACTACAGGGAGTCCCTGCTGTATTCATGCAGTTGATCAACGAAGTATTGCATGAGCACCTGTATAAGGGGGTGTTGGTCTATTTGGATGACATTCTGATCTATTCTGACAACATGGCCGACCATGTAAAGTTGGTGCGGACGGTCTTGAAGAAACTCAGAGCGGCTGAACTCTATGCCAAACTTTCTAAATGTGATTTCTACCAAGACAAAATCGACTATCTTGGATATCGTATACCGCATGAGGGAATAGAGATGGACCCTGAAAAGGTCCGGGCAGTGTTGGAATGGGCCGCACCACACACCCGTAAACAG